AGGGCGGCAGCAGGAGGTGGCGCCCGGCACAGGGGGGTCCGCTGGCAGCCGCGATGCCACGGAGAGGGGCGTCTGTGCGACCGGAGAGCCAGGCGCAGTTCACCGAGCGGCGCGAAAGGGGCTAATCCCCAGGTACCTTTCAGCTGCTTAAAATAAGAAGGAATTCCCAGCGGCAGCAGCTTATCCCGGCTCTGGCTGGCTTTGCCCAGCCTCGGCGGCTGCCTTTGACGCTCCCGGCCAGAGTCGCGGGGAGCCGGCCGGGATGAAAGCGCCTGCTACCTGCTTGCTTCTGCTCCAGTGCCCGGCGCCGCGGGGGCCAAAATAAAAGAAGAAAAATCCCCAGATAATTCCTCCCCACAAGGGAAAAGCCTGTGGACGGCCAGCTGGAGGAAAGCTCCTTACCTGGCCACACTTAACAGCCTTTGTTGGCGCGGCAGCCTGGAAGTCCCTCCCGCGCGGAGGCGGAATTGCCTCCGGAGCCCGGCGGCTTCCCGGACGGGCGTCCGCAGGGAATCCGGGCCGCTGCTCCGGCCACGCAGAGCTCACAGGGGAGCCCAGGGGATTCACGCACATGGAGCGGGAGCCCCACTGCTAAAATGTCTCCTGCCCTTTGGAGCTCTCTTGTGTCGGTGATCCCAGTTCAGGTGCTTGCTGCTCTCTTGGAAAGCAATGTTTCTAAGCAGTATCTCTGTTGCCAGCTTATTAATTAATTAACAACTTTATTAGTGCTTGCAGGACAGCAGGAACATCTGAGGGTGCCAGGCGAGAGTCCAATTCATGCAGGGCCCTCGGGATGCCCAGGATGGTTCCCAAAAGGGAGCCTGAAGTGACTGGGGGGGAAGCACTGATCCCCCAGCCGAGATGGTGCCGCGCAGGCGTCTCCCCTTGTCTGCCTGAGCCTGGGTGCTCCCTGGGTGCAGGGGCAGGGCCCAGGTTGGGTGCCCCCAACGTGTCCTGCAGCCCTGCTATGCCAAGGAGAGGGTGGCCTGGCGGGACCAACCGTCTCCCCACGTGCCCTGCAGCAACGTCCACGGGGTTGGACTGCGCGGACCCCCCTGCAGCCCCGCACCCTTCCGCAGGCACCAGGGCCTGTTGGTGAGGGCGCAAAGCGGGCAGCCCGTGGGGGCCCGGCTGCTGCGTGGGCCCCCCAGCGCCTC